AACGTTTTGCTTTTATTTGCCAAGCACAATAACCACACCGAGTTTGGTACAAATTGGTAGAACGGTTACCGAGATACATATATGTGATCATAAGTGGGCGGTGCCACGCCCATTTTTCAAAATTTTGTCTTAAGCGTGTTTCTTGGTAAAGAATAGTTGCAAGCATCAATTTTGAATAAATTAGCTTCAATATTTACTGATTTATCGAAGATTTTGTATTTCTCGTTATATGGGATGTGGGCGTGGTTATTGTCCGATTTTGGCCGTTTGGTATGCTGTGCGAAGGCCAACAACTGTGCAAAGTTTGGAAGAAATTGGTGCAGCGGTTCCTTAGATATACACATGTAACCATAAGTGGGCGTGGCTACGCCCATTTTCCAAAAATGTATAATATTCATATTTTTCGTCTAAAAATTATTGTAAATATCAATTTTGAGTGAATTATCTTCAATAGTTACTAAAATATCGCAGTTTTCGTATTTCTGGAAATTACCGTTATATGGGAAGTGGGCGTGGTTACAGTCCGATTTCGCCCATTTCCAATACCAACTTACCTTGGATTAAGGGAAACCTACATACCAAATTTCGTTGAGATATCTCAATTTTTGCTCGAGTTATCGTGTACACGGACGGACGGACAGACGGACAGACGGACAGACGGACGGACAGACAGACATGGCTTAATCGATTTCTTTTTTCATCCTGATCATTTATGTATCTCGATTCGTTTTGGCTGTTACAAACAACCGTTATGTGAACAAAATTAATATACGCTTGTGCACAAGTGCGCTCGGGTATAAAAATAGGCAGGAGGCGTCATGGGCCAGCAATACAACGGGGAAGTGCGCCATATGGAGCTGCGGAAGCAACCCACCCTATCTGGGGAAAGCTGTTTCTAAAAAAGGCTACGTGTGTGCGAAAATACACAATATACACGTGTATAGTTGCTATATCCCACCAATACCGATCTGGCTAGCTTTACTCGCATTGTTGACGAGCTGGTTAGTGACGCTAAGAAAAAGAGTGCGGCACTCATAGCGGGCGATTTTAATGCGTGGGAAGTCGAGTGGGAATGCAAAAGAACGAACCCGAAGGGCAGGGAACTTCTTAATGCACTTGCAGCACTTGACTTGGTACTGCTCAATAGTGGGAACCAAAACACCTTCACCAAAAACGGTGCTGGCTCCATCATCGACCTCTCATTTGTAAGCAGGGGGTTAAGTAGAGTCACAAGATGGCACATCAGTGACTGCTACACCCATAGTGACCACCGGGCAATAGTCATTACCATTGAAAAAATACGAGCGGGCACGGTACCTTCTAAACATCAGAACGGGTGGAAAACAAGAACTTTTGATGAGAAGCTCTTTGAAATAGCCTTCGACGATATTGAGGTAACACTTACGGTAGAAACCGCAGCGCAAAAGCTAATGAACGCAATATCCAAAGCATGCGACACCGCCATGGTACGACAAAGTGGGCGTAAAACACGTAAGGCAGCATACTGGTGGAACAGCGAGATCGCAAGGCTGCGAGCACGATGCCATCGGGCAAGAAGAGTATGCCAGCGCTCACGAAATGCAGCCAATGCCGAGGAGCTCAGGCTGAATTACAAGGAAATGCGGAAACTGTTTAAACAAGCCATCCGTGACAGCAAACGCAACATGTTTAGAGAGCTATGCGATGATATAAATGATAACCCATGGGGCTCTGCGTATAAAATAGTGCGTAAGAAGCTAAAGCAAACGGTGCAACCAACATGCCCAATTATTTTGGCCCAAATTGTGCATGAACTCTTCCCTGCACAGCCTGATTTCGATAGAAACCTGGATAATGAACCAGCTGCCAGCATACCAATGGTAACTTCGGAGGATGGCACCCCAAATATCGTGCTGCAAAAAGCGGTGTCAACAAATCCGGACATACTGGCAAGCGTTTTTAACGTGTACCTGCGAGAAGGAATCTTTCCCAACAGCTGGAAGCTGCACAAATTGGTACTTATACCAAAGAACCCAAGTGCTTTTTCTTCCAATGGATATCGCCCATTGTGCATGCTGGATTCAACCGGCAAGATGTTTGAGCTTGTCATCAAAAATCGGCTGGAAACACATGTAGATATACGCCTGTCAGGCAACCAGTTCGGCTTTAGGAAAAAGCGATCAACCACCGACGCGATCGAGGTCGTAAAAGCAATGGCCGAGAAGGCGATTGACGGCAAGAGATGGTTAGGTGGCACTAAAGAATACTGAATACTGTTAGATGTTAAGAATGCGTTCAATAGTGCCAGCTGGAAAGAAATACTTCACGCTCTTCGCACACTGAAAGTACCTTGCTATCTGCAACGCATCATCTCTAGTGCTCTGTAGGTTAGAGTTCTGCGCTACGACAGCGACTTAGGAGCCGTCGCTACGAAGTATCAGCTGGTGTACCACAAGGATCTGTGTTAGGGCCCCTTTTGTGGAACATTATGTATGACGGCATTTTGCGGCTCAAGGTACATGATAGTGCTACATTCATTGGCTTTGCACACGATATATCTATCGTTGTAACCGCAAAAATGCTCACGGAAGTGGTAGGCATTGCGGAACATGCGATATCAGCGGCCCAGGAATGGCTAAGCGCGAAGAATCTAATGATGGCTGCGCATAAGACGGAGGCCATACTCATCAGCAGCCATAAGAAGGTAAAAAAGGTGGTGCTTAAAGTTGGCGGCAGTATCATAGAGTCCAAGCCATATGTAAAGTACTTAGGGGTTTTGGTGGATCATCGGCTTAGCTGTCGCGACCACTTGAAGTACGCGAATAAAAAAGCTGCGACTGCGACGGTAGCCCTGTCAAGAATAATGGCAAACATCGGCGGACTAAGACAGCAGGCAAGACAGGTGCTAGCTAGGGTGGTGAGGTCTATCCTCCTGTATGGCGCGACAGTTTGGTGCAACGCATTAAAGTACACCTCATATGCACGAAGTTCAAACTCCACGTACCGATTGTGTGCTCTTAGAGTCTGATCTGCATTCAGAACGGTATCGGAAGAGGCGGCGCTCGTCATAGCCGACCTGTGCCCACTCGACCTGCTAGCTCAGGAGTTGTGTGAAGCGAGAACCGCGAAACACAACCAACACCATGTCAGCGCGCACAGATCAAAAGCAAAGCAACGCAGCATAGCCCAGTAGCAGACACGATGGGACAGCGCAGCAAAGGGCAGGTGGACCCATCGACTCGTCCCTAGAGTCGAAGCATGGCTCGAGAGAAAGCACGGGGAAGTAGACTATTATCTTACCCAAATTATCAGTGGCCACGGCTGTTTCAAAGCGTACCTTCACCGATTTGGGCATGAAGATACCCCATATTGCGAGCAGTGCGAACCAGCAGTCCCCGAAGATGCAGAACATGTGCTTTTCGTATGTCCCCGCTTCAGAAAGTTAAAGAAGCATGTGGAAGATAGCCTTGGATGTAGTGGCACACCAGACAATCTGGTGCCACTCATGCTGAGAAGCAACCACGCATGGAACGAGGTACAGCATATGGCTGCCACAGTGATGCAGCAACTCCGCAACAGCGAGCAGGCAAGGCGTACACGCCAATGTCAAGAAAGGGTGTGAGCCGGCAAGGAGATGTAGCGGCGAAAAGTGCACGTAAACAAGCTCTCTCCCGAAATTGTACGAACAGCGGGTGGTAACAAGTAGATGCAACTTCTGACGTAATGCATCAGGACAGGAACGGACGTTGAGACTAGTGCTCAAACCGCCTCCCGACGAAATACTTGACGGTAGTACCGGGCGGAATCGGTGCTGTGACGGTAGGAGGTTTAGTTCGGGTTAAAGTCCCACACTGACAGGGTTAGGCTTTCGATGCTTCCTCCTCAAAAAAAAAAAAAAAAAATTTTCTTTATGTTCGGTCGGTTTTGACTTAGTACCCTCAAATTTTCGAGTAATTTGCAAATTTCTGGAAAATTTTTGGGTATTTGGCCAAAGCCGACTGCCGATTTGGATTCAGTACGTCAAAAAACATAAAGATAAGTGGATTCCATCAAATGTACACACAACTTTTTTTCTTGTATGTACCGATATAATTTGACCAAAATAAAAGCTAAAATTTACATACATATTTGCAGGCCCGGAAGACTTACAGGAGGAATTGGATAACATAAAAAAAAAACAAGTAAACGATGTAATGGCAAAATTAGAAGGTTAGTATCGAAAATAAATTAGTTTTCTTTACTGTGTTTTCCATTTTATTATTTTCCTAAACAAAATTATTATTTCAATTCCAGCGTTAATGAACAGCCAGGCAAAAAATAATTTGCTTATGCAGAGGATTCTGGAGAAAGTGGAGAAGAAAACAAAGTTCCCAGTTTGTGAGGTGAAGCGTCTTGCTGAAATTGCAAATTACGTCTCGAAAAATAAAGATGTATATGTGAGTATGAAATCGCGCTATTTTTTTATTATTATAGGCAGAGCTGTTAAATTTCCATTACGATTAGTAATCATTAGATTTTTGCATTTTTTAATTTTAATGATTATTTTTATTTTCTTACATAACCCAGCAATTAATAATTAATTACAATAAAAAATAATCATGATTAGTTGCCGTTAAAAAAATAATCAAATAATTAAAAATAATAAAATTTAATCAAATAATCTTTTAATCATTTAATTGTTTTTATTTTTTTGATTATTTTTAATTATTAGATTGTTTTTAATTATTTGATTATTTCTAGTATATGATTATTTTTTATTATTTTTCCAAATACATAAAGTTGTGTTTGGCAGGCAAATTTTTTAAGGTTAGTATTAAATAATTGAAAATAATCAAATCATTATATTAATCTTGCACTTAAAAAATCAAAAACATTTGCAAATAATTAAATAATTATATTAATCATGTAATTAAAAATTATTTTTTAACCAGGTTTCCAATATAAAAGACATTATTGGACAAATTGCTATTGTAAACGGAATGAAAAAATCCTCAGCGACGACGTCATGGTACAATTAAATTATGCCTTCGCTAGTAATAATACACATGTTTTCTAATTTATTTTGTTTTTTTTTGCTTTCAGAAGCAATACAAACGGAAGGGTACACCAAAAAGGAATATGA